TAGTGTGAAATATATGGTTTGGTTGAATAATTTTTTGTTAGATGCTTTTATTTGTTTTAGCCCACAAACTTTATCTTCTGGGGTTTATAAGGGAACATTGCCTGCCAACGGAGTTTATAAGACAGAAACAGAAAATCAGATGTTGGCCTTAATACACAAGGTCAAGGAAAAAATTCAGGAAACTGGTAAAAAACAAACAAACAAACAAAAACTTTAACAATGTGTTTGTCTGAAACCAGGCTGTTTGGGACTCTCTCTCCAGCACTGACAAATAATTGATGTTAAAAAAATTTCACCAACCTCTTTGATAACATGAGTACTAAACAATAACATTGTTATCTGCATTTTTTTCTGTTTCTAACTAGTTGCTGTTATTTCATGGAGACTCATCCCTGAATACACTGTTTTATGTACAGTTCTTAGAATCTGCAGTAAATATTGATTTTTTAAAATAAGGTATAAGAATCTTCCATGGCCAAGACAAGATTTCCATATAATTCAATCATTGGCCAAAATAAAAACATAACTGCTATGCTGAAAGGCACTGAAAATACACAATGCTATTTATTCTCTTAGTATATTAGAAGGAGCTCTGAACTGAGTCAACAACTGGGTTATAATCTTGATTCTGCCCTTCAAAATTCATGGCGTTCAGTGGTACCATTCAAGGAACATTTGTTAACCCTTCTGGATAGGCTTGGTAACTATGCTCAGAGACATGACAATGACTAACCAGAGAATTTCCTTATTCTGTGATAACTACTGTTAATGAAAAGGCTTCTGAATTAGTTTGCTAGGATTGCTGTAACAAAGTATCACAAACTGATTGGCTCAAACCCGAAATTCATTGTTTCATAGAGCTAGGGGCTAGAAGTTCAAAATCAAGGTAACAGCAGAGTTGGCTCTTTCTGCAGTACATGAGGGAAGGATCTGTTGCAGGCCTCTCTCCACGGCTTGTGGACGGCCCCTTCTCCCTGTGTCTCCTCACATCGTCTTCCCTATAGATTTGTCTCTTTTTGTAAGGACACCAGTCACATTGGATTAGGAGCCCACTCTATTCCAGGATGACTCCATCTTAACTAACCACATCTGCAATGACCCTATTCCCAAATAAAGCTGCGTTCTGAGGAACTGAAGATTAGGACTTCAACATGTGAATTTGGGATGGGCACACAATCCAATCTATAACAGCTTTCATTTCTCATTTATAAAGCCGAGACAAAGGCATCTTCTAATATTATATTGTAACTTGCTTTATTTTCTTTTAGCAAGCATTTGTAATTACTCTTCTAGACAGCAGGTATCCAAAGTTGAATAAAGTGCCCTCAAGAGCAAATAGCTTACTCAGGCTTTGTTTTTCCTTTGTTGCTCAGAACCTAATATTATTCTAGGCACGAAGTATGACCTTACAAATATTTGATGACTGGCAAAAAGAAAGGAAGAAGGGAGGGAGGATTCTGCTTACTTCAGATCTTCCCTAGTGACAATAAAGTTATTGTTTGTCCTTTTTTAATGAGTTCAAGGCTTTGTATAGGTCCAAAATTAATTTCTAGCAAATGTGAACATTTTAATTTAAATAGCTAGATTGGATGACTGGTGCGAATTCACCAGGGACAACATCCTGCTTTATCTTGGTTTCTTAGACAATCTAGATCAGGGTCCTGATCTCATCTATAATATCAGCGTTAGATGTGATCTTAGAGGTCTGGTTCTACTCTCTTGTTTTGCAGGTAAAGTATCCCAGCCCAGAATCATGGCCCACAATCACATAGCCAGTTCCATGCTAAGTCAAACCCACTGCCCTTTCTATCACATGATGCTGCCTCTACTCCCCACACGATGTAAACAGCTAATCCCTCCTGGCCTGTGAAGGAAGGAGAGAACAGATGGTACCACAAATGCCACACCCTCCAGCAGCTGCAAATCCTCAAATGGGCCCCACTGAAATGGACTGGTTTTACAACAGAGTGAGGGCGGGATGTGGGAAGTCCACCTACTTGTGTATCTTGTGAGGAAACAGTCCACAGTCACTGTGAAGTAATCTCAGCCCTGAGTCTACTCTATTAAGAGCTCAACCTCAGGAGCAGAAAAATAGGGCTTCAGAGAGATGCTGTCTTCAAAACCTCCTTCTCTGGACTGACGCTAATGCTTCTTAGCAAGCCATTCTTCTCTTACCTACCTGGGACACTGAAGGCTGTGAAAAATAATAACCACAACTGACATGTAATGACCCCTTCCTTACCAGGTGGAGGACATTGTGCTAAGTACTTGGCATGCACAGTCTCATTTAATCCTCACCACAGCCCTATGGCATAGGCACTGATATTATTCGCAACTTACAGGGGAGAAACTAGAGAAGTTATGCAACCTGCCCAAGGTCCCAGAGGCTGAAGGGCTAGAGCTCCATCCAAAGCCAGGCAGGCTTTAAAGTCTGTGCGAACATCAGCCAGGCGGCCCAGGGCAAGTCACTCAACTTCTCAGAACTTCAGTGTGTGATATCAATTGGGGATAATGATACCTGCCTTACAGGTATGTCATACAGATTAGATATAATGAATGAAAAGTGCTTAGTGCACAGTCTATATTGCACCAAATTCTTCATAGAGAATTAGTGTCCTCTTCCCGTTGGTCTCATTTATCATATAAAAACTCATGGGAGAAGAACATGTCTCCTCATACCTCTATGAGAATAAGTATGAAAGGAGGGTACAATGAGGGCACTGGGAGCCATGGGGTTATGGACCCAGTAAGAGACCCCCAAGGACACTTAGAACAGTTTGGTCCAGGCTGTCCAACCAATGGAGGACAGTCAATTATTCATGTCATAAAATTAGACAGGGATATTTATGGACTGGACAATGGAGAGCCTCACTTGACCCCTAAAAGGCATTATTCCTGGACCCCTTTGGGATTCCCAGGCAAAAACTGAGCTCACTTCTTTAGTAATACAATAGCTACTACATGGACCAGTGACAGTGTGCCAATGCCAGCATTTTATACACGTTGTCACAACCCATCCTCACAGCAGCCCCAGGAAATGAGGATTATTTTGCCTATTTCATGGAGAATACCAACCTAAACCTGCTTTACCCACAAGCCCATGACCTTAAAATACTAGACTTACTAGAAAAAAGACTGGTTGCAAGCAAAAAAATCAACTCGATATACTATAAGCAAAGGGGAAATTTTATTACGAAAATAGTATTTCACATATTCTTGAATAAGGAACCAAAATTAGGAATGAGAATGCTGTCATCTGTCTCTTTATCTCTGTCTTTATCTCTCTCTATCTTTTGCCTCAGTCTTTTCTTTCTCCTTGTAGAACACCCCTCGACACTTCCTCAGCCCTATCGTAGGATTAGCCACTCCATACTTCTGAAGTTCCTGGTCCAATCTCTCACAAAGACTTCTTTTCGAGTTCTCGGAAGAAAACCTTGTCAGTCCAGCTCAAGTCAGGTGTCTTCCAATGTTTGTACTGGTTGAGTACTGAGGACTGGGTTTGTCTTCACCCAGCACAAACAGGGCAAGGAGGCACCACCCTGTGAATTGCAGGGCATAGAGAAAGGGGATCAATGCTCAGAGGTAGATAAAACACTAGAAAAGCTATCCTCCATAGGTATGCTGCTTTTCTATAAGATATTCAAGCACTTTTTCATTTCAGAAAATTCAAACCAAACATAGCCTTTACTAATACAATAATTAACTGAAGAATTTGTAATAAAGGTCTTCGGTAGCTAAAGACTATGATTTAGGCAGAGAAATTAGTAAATCTAGAATATGGAGTAGCTAAT